GCAGTAAAAAATTTTTAAATTACAAATTTTGTGTGTGTACTAATTCCAACTTATAGACTTATTTAGCCATAATATGCTTTTAATGAAATCACTTGTAATATTTTAAAACCACTCAGGATTATAACATGAAATTGTTCGGCGAATTGTTCGGCGAATTTTTCAGAAAAACTAATTTTACGCAACAATGCAGTGCATGTTATATAAAAAAATTTCAACGAGCTTATGTGTCGTTTCTCCATAATTTCATTTCGTTGCTTCTCTTCCATTTCACGCTTAAATACTGGCAAGTAATGTTTGGCGACTTCAAACTTTGCCTCTGCACGCGCTGAATGTCCCGACTTAACTACTTACTTCGCCAACACACAAACGCATGCGGGTGTAAACACTTATGTTGCCTACATCCAGGCGCTGTGCGTCCACGAACTAGTAAGTAATTACTGCAACTGTAACTTGGAAATTGCAATTACTTGGCGCTTCGACGGGAGACTAGCGCATCAAAAAATTGTTGAAACTTTAAATCGCTCAGCCCACACGGTGAAAGCGTGCTGGCTTATATGGGTTACCATATACCATACCTACTTATATATGTACAGTTTCTTGCAACTTTTCCTTGCAATTTGCCATGCTATCTTGCAACTCTGCACTGCAAGTGTGCATGCTACTTCCTTTTCATATAATTTTTCACAAAATAATTGAGTTTTAATTGCTCTGCACGCTTTTTGAAAATTTTACAACGTATAACTACGTTCTTGTTGTTGTTACTACTGACAATTTGCTGCCCTCCTTTTGTCTGCTTAACTGTCTGTCTATGTTAGTGCTGCGCATTTTGCTCATTAGGCGCTCGTTTGGCCTATTTTCAGCGCTCACTTCATTGCATACCCATACACATAGCACTTTTATGACTGTGTGTGTGCGTGTGCGCTTTTATTGGTGAATCACCTAAATTTCACTTTATAAGAGTCACGATTTTGCTGTAACTGCAGCCACAACAATTTTGACAGCAATTATTTCCACTTTATAAATGGTTCACAGTTACACGAATACATAAGTATACACGTACACACATACACACTCTCAAATAAATTGCAATTGGAAATTTTCTGCTTGATTTTTTTGTTCTGCTTACTGCTCTAATTTACTCGTATGCTGCGCGCTGAGTGTGTAATTTGGGTCGAAACTACGGCAATTAGTAAACGTGATTCGAAGATGATGGGCATTTCAGATTTTCCGAGTATTCTTCAGTGTAAATATTTTTGAAATAATTTTTATTAGACTTGCTAACTTTAAGCTAGTTCAAGGTTGTGATTTTTGGCGCGATATATGAACTTGAGAAAATTAAAAAAAAATATAATACAGTTCAGACTTATCTAGATATAAAATCATAGCCACATATAGTGTACAATTTTTTATAGAGAATTGAATTGTTAAATATTTGAACAGCAGACTTTCTTCTCTAATCATCCTATATTACAAATTATTTAGAAATCGGCTTTTATGAGTTTTAAATTTACTGTTGAACTTGAATATATTGACTTTAAAACATTTTTCACAATAGTATTCAACAAAACTATATTTTTCTTTAACTCAATAAGAATAAGCTACTATCTACACCTTCGGGAAGAATTAGCACATATTCGAAGATTTTTTTTAGTAAAGTTTGTTTCATGAATACTATGAAAAACTATACTTCTCTATTAGTGCCGTCTATGTGCCATTACTTTCATACCTTTTAAATCAATATCATATTTTTGCATTTCGGTAAAATGCCATTGAAATTTCAGATAACACAGTTAGCGTATTACTCACAATATCTTATAGAATTTGTGGTATGCTTCTTCAGAATCATATTTTAAAAAGCTGTTTTTATAAATCCATCAATTCCTTGATTTTAGGAAACATACAAGCAAAATAAAATTTCACAATGAAATGAACTCAGATAAATAGCTACATACTTGTATATGCAATGACATTATATTTTGTATGCAAAAATATTTCCAACATTTCAGAACCCTATGCTGTGGTAAATGCCCAACGATATATCCAAAAGGTACTATAGAAAAAATATTTTTAGAATTTCAGCGGGTATTTAAATGGTGTTTCAACGTAGCGCACACTCTTCACTGGCATCAAAAAACGTTATTGAACTTGTGGAACACGTTAAATTTAACACAAAATTTTTAGTCCATACATCAAAAATTTTAAGTTTTATACAAGTTAGTTGAGTTAGCAATATGTTTGGCCATTGAAACATTTTAGTAGGGTTCGCCAATGTAAATGTAAAGCATAACCAAAATTTGATAGATATAGATATATATTTTATATATAATATTTCCCATAATTCCGGTTGGAGCGTAAAGCCAAAAAATTAGATAGAATTCAAATTTAAAAATATTTCTGAAAGCTTTCCATGATATTGGTAGACTGTAATTTTGACAAAAACATAGCTCTGAGTATCGTGTAAAAATTTAAATTAGTAAATAATAAAAAGTAAATTAATTCTGCCATTATTAAAGGAAATGATTCCTTGTAAGTTTAAGATGTCATGGAAATTATTGCGAATACAACTAATTCCACATAAACTTGTAGAACACCTCAAACGTTGTCTCAACGATAAACATTTGTGTATATATTTAATAAAAAAATAATTATAGTTGTACATAATTTGTCAGATAGTAGAGCATTGTATAAAGAAATGGACTGATATAATCCTGTAAGAAAATTTAACTTTTTAAAAGGTTTGTTTAAGTCAGCACCATCACAAATCAGAAATATAGATTTTTAGTTGTTTTTTCTTATGCTAGTATGTGCTAACATTGTATATTATTTTTTTATTTATTATTTTACGTATGATGTGTGTTTAGAAATATTGAAATAATACTTTTTCACTACTTAGAACACTAAGGTGCAATGAAATGTCTAAAAATAATAATTCTAACGAATTTACTGAGGAATTCTGAAATATTTTTGAATAACATACATAATATTATATATAATATAATATATTATATATAATATAATATTTATGAAATTTTTATTACTTAATTTTGAAAATTTAAAATTTTTTTTTGAGGAAAACAAGTCAAAATTTTAAATTATTATTAAACAATTTTTGTTTATTTTGGCTCTAATATTTTTGTTTCTTTGTGTGTTAACAAAAACTTGTTTTATACCTTTGTAACTACTAATGCTTCTTATTTCATTTTATTTTTGCTGCTATATTTTTCTTTCTTTTTTATATAATAATACTATTTTTAAGTATTTGTAAAATTTTCAGAATTCTTCTTGATTTTAATTAGATTACAAAACGTAATGCGAAAATATTTGTTTTTTGTGTTGCTGAGTGTAGTTTCTTTGAAATAAATTTATGAAAGCTCTCACTGATGCGTGATATTATATGTGATTACAGCAACAACTTTCTAACGGCAGAAACAAAATGAATTTTCTAAAACATGCTGCATTTATTGCGGTGCTAATTCAACGAAAAGTTTTTTAAATACATTTTTATGTTGAATTGAAATTTTTTTTATTAGTTTTTTTCATTTTTTATACTCTTGCAACATGTTGCTTCAGAGTATAATAGTTTTGTGCATCACATTAGGGAGCGGCATCTGCAGTTTAAATTTTTGTTAAAAAGTAATTTTTTAGGTTTAATGTGCATATCTCCTAAGCCGCTAAAGCTATAATAATAAAATTTACTGAGAATACTCTATCGACGGGTGACAAGCCCGCCCATTCCCCATATAACGGTATTGTTAAAAACTACTAAAAGCGCGATAAATCAAGCACTAAACACGCCAGAGGTATGAAATTTTATATCTGGAATGGTATGAGATGACTTTATAGGAAAGTGTTCAAAATTAGACTGTGAGTATGGCACCGCCCACTTTTAGGTGAAAACCCATATCATGGGATCTGCTTACCATTCCTCTCATATTTCTATATTATAGTAGGAAAATGGGCGAAATCGTATTACAACCACGCCTATTTCCCATATAACATCATTTTAAGTTCCACCTGATTCTTTAACTGTCCACTATGCAAATCAAGCAACAATAATTGTGTCAACGTAAAACTTTGCGTGAATAATGCGTTTAAAGTATGCCACCTTGTGACCAAAAATTGTCTAATTCAAAAACTGTTTAAGGCCCTAGGTACTGAATATGTGAACCCCAATTCTTACAGTTGACTTTTTACCGAAAATATCGGTCAATGAGTAAGATTAATCATTGAACTTCATATAATTAAATAAATAAATGAAACTATCGGTAACAGTTTTCGTGTGAAAAATTTGTTGAACCGGATCAATACTTCCTTAAATATATAATTTTGCTTCCGAAAATTACCTTGCAAGTTGCGAGAGTATAAAATGTTCGGTTACACCCGAACTAAGAACTTCCTTACGTGTATTTAAACTACAATTGTATTTAAAGTTAATCAAATTTTCAGTTAAAAAATATATATTGTATTTTTATGAGTTTGTAAAAAAACAGAAACAAAATAAATTTTAAAAGTAATATTTTTTTTAATAGATAAATTAAAAATATAAATTTTTTTTTTGTTGAAAAATAAGAATATTGGTGCTCGCACTCATGCACTTTTGTGTTTACTGTTTACAACATTTTCAATAATAATACAACCAAAATAAAATTTTAAAAGAAAAACGCAAATCACAAAATTAAAGTGTTCAATACTACAAATATTAAACACTTAAAATCCTAACCAAATATAAGCAGAGTGTTTGTACTGATAGTACGTTCCGAAACTAATTTGAATTTGTTTTAAATATTTAATTTCTTACTCATACGCGTTTAGGCAAAATTACTGCTGTGTTAGTATTGAAGTTACTGTGTGCTCTAATTGTTGTCTGCTCAAAATTTATTAATCGAATTTAAATTTGTTCAATTAAGGTTTTTTAATCCACATAATTTTGTTTTTGTTAATTGACTTTTTCCATTTAAATTTTTTTTTTTTTTTTGCAAAAAAACTTCCCAACTACTTACTGCTGGCATAAGTTGATCTGTACTTCTGACGCGAGTCACCTTATTTTTCGTAACAAGCCTTTTGACGAATCGTTCCACCTGTACGTTCCACTTCATGAAGGCCACATAAGCTATATAGATGCTGAATAGGATAAGCGCCTCCCACCAATAGATGAAATTATCGCGAAAAAAGTATATTAATACCAGTAAACTGATACTATAGAATGAGCAATCACGAAATAGTGGCCACCATGTTAACGCCAATATGGTTTTGGAGAATAGCGCACACATACCGATGACGAAGAGTATGTTGAAAACAGCCGAACCGACAATTGTACCAATGCCAACATCATCGAACGAGATGAATACGCCAATGACACTGGTAAATAATTCGGGCGCACTACCGCCGGCAGCCATAAACGTAGCACCGGCTACATCGTCTGTTATGTCCAATTTCTCGATGATCACATCCAGGGAAGGCACGAAGAATTCATCGCATACAATGGCTAGCGCTACGAACATATATATAACACCGATTATATGGCATATAACAGCACCATTTTCAAGCTGCTCTTTGGTGAAGAGATCCTTGGGGAAGAGCGGCGCTTTCGTCACATTCACAGGGGCGGTTTCTGAAATAATAAGAGGTAAGAAATATAAATGTATTGGAAATGGAAATGTATTTGTAGACGAATAATTGTATAAAAAAATAGCTTAATTCTTTCTCATTAGTAATAAATTGTTTTAAGTTTTGTAAGAAGTTTTACTATTATTTAGTGGATATAATATTTAAATGGAAGAAAATATTGAAACTTAATTCAATGAGAGTCAAACGGTGCAAAGCAATTGAGAATAAGTTTACCAACAGCAGCACAAAACGCAATTGAACTTGTGGAACACGTTCTGTACTACTGTAGCTTCGTAGATTTGGTAATAATTATGCTTTTATCAATATAAAAGCAGTTTATATGTGTTTTAGAAAATATTGACCGTTGTTGGTTAAACCAATATGCCGTAAATAATTTTGAAAGAGCAAAATTGTACACCGAGATTTGCGTTACGTTAAATATAAAACATTTAGTATACATATCGATATATATTTATAATGGTTTGCTATCTTTACATCAAGTTTCATTCATGGCCGAAATTCCTGGTTGATTGTGATATTTTGTTTTGATTCACGCAACGGTACATGATTGACAGCCAATTTGCTATTGTTTTGCTGACCAAAAAGGATAATCTTAGATAAGTGTACACATACCACACAAGTATTGTTGCCTTTTACTTTGTATACCCTGGCTATCAAATAAATCGGTTTAAAAAATACAAGTTTGGAATTTTGTGAGGATTATACAACAAACTCTAATCCTTTTACATATTAAATGTTAGATGAGAAAATAGTAAAAAGAACATATACAAACATAAAAATTATACATTAAAATTATTGTTTTTACTAGATTAAATTCATATTGCTTTAGATGATTTACAGAATAATTTGTAATTTTGACCCTCAAATGAGCAACTAGAGTTTCTTCGCTTTTCAAAAGATGCAAATATAGAATTATTTAAGAAAAATAATGTTCTCCCACTGGGTTTTTCCTTTTAAGTGAAAGTTTTCGTAAATAACTTTTATGTATTTTGCTGTCATTTCGCACATTTTTAATAAAAGGTTTTCTAGAGCATATTCTTTTATTTTCGGACCCCAACTCCATCGTCTGCTGTTTCATGATCATGCGAGGAATATTTGGTTTATTGACATTATTTGTTTATACTATTTCATACATTTTTTTGAAAAAAGTTAAGTTGAAAAGAGTCAATAGTTTGTCAAAAGATTTATATACTCATCACGTTTTAAGACAACTTTAGCTCAATCAATTGTTAATGCTCTTGCTGGTTAGAAATTCTATTTTAAGGTTCCAAATTATTACCTTTAGAACAACTTTAATAGTTTCCACGTGTTATGAAGACGCTCACTCATAGAAAAGTTTCATTTAAGAAAAAACTGTTGATCATAGTTCCATTTATCTACGTCTCAATCATATCCAAAACAAGGTAGAAGATAGATATACTGATTAGGTGTACTATTCGGATGTACTGTTCAGACAGTTTCGTTTTTGCTGGATTCAGCACTGTTTTGACACGCGTCAATTATGGACAACAGCAAAAAGAAAATACGTCATATTTTACAGGTTTTCTTCGTTTAAGGTAAAAGCATCAGCCATGCGACTGAAAATGTGAATGTGTATCGAATTGATACTGCAACAGTCAATTAAAAACTGAAATCGTCAAGTCCGACCGTAATGTAAGCAATTTTTTGATTTCCCAGGAACTTAACTTTGCATAAAAGCATTGTGTGGAACTATACAAGTAAGGCTAGATACAAAAATTCGATTGCTCATTTGAGTAAAAACCTCAAACTCATGAATTGAATTTCCAACTGGGAATTGTTGCTGGATTTCAACAAAATTGATCCATTTCAGAAGAGAATTGTTACTCGATATGAAGAGGGGGTCACTTACGACAAAATCGGTATTGGTCGAATCGCCAACGCAACCGGTAGTCGAGACAGTAATGACGGTCAGGAAGGTTTAAATATGTACCTGGTGGGATTGACAGTGAATCATCAACTATCAGCTGCGCTCCTACGGCCGAATTCTTTATTCGGACTTTATATACCGTCAACAATTGGACCGTCTGAAGTAAGCAATCGCCCAGAAGTGGTCAGCTTTGGCCAATAGGAGTGGAGTTGTGTTTCATTTACAGTTCGTAATATCCAATGTAAAAAGGCAATAGAGTTTTAAGAGTGTTTTAACTAATTTCACTTAGAACCAGTGACCATTTAAACAGAGCATTGATACGAGTACGGAGGTAAGCTGACTTAGTTTTCCACTTGTTGAGTATCGTGTGATATATGATTTTTGGCAATCCTCGGCATTGCATTAGTCAAACTAGTTTTAAAAAGCTATATCAAAAAGTGCTTACAAATAATCTTTGTTTAAAAAAAAATGTTTATAATGTGGAATATATAACGATGTAAGAACAAGCTTAAAAAATATGAAAAGTCTGATAAACAGTAGGCTTATATACTCGTATTTGGTAAATCAAAAAACTGATTTCAATATTAATTAATTAAACTCTCTTTTTTCATTAAATCTGTATGTTTTTGCTAACTTGCAGCTTAATGCCATTTATTGCTTGTTAACAATCAGTTAATGGTTAGCAGCTATTCACATAAATTATATTATGTTTTCGAGCCGTTATATAGATATATATGTATAAAACCCATATTTTATATATGCATTTACATAACTACTTCGCCCACACAACATAAATACAACAAAGGTAAAGGCAGTGCCAAGCCGGTATTTGACTTGAAATTCGTAAAGAGCGTGTTGAAAATACGCTGCTAAAAAAATATGTTGCTCATTAGTGTGGTCCATAATATATGACCGTACTCGATTTGCGGTTGAGGTATTTTCAAATATAATATCTATTTTCCTCTTCGGCTCATTTTGCTGCTGGTGATTCAGGGTTTTTTTTAATACCAAATTGAGTTGGAATATATTACAAATACCATTTACGGTAATATTATTTGCATTAACAATTTTTTTCTCATATTCATCGCAAGGGTATGATTGACTTAAAGGTTAATGCGCTGCTTTCATTATGCATAATTTAATGCCACTTAATTGACAAAAATATTATTTCCATGAGAAGTTAATCAGATGGCAACAAACTGTCAATTTTACACGAAATTTTTTTGCACACTAACAATTTTTTCCAAAAATATATCGCCATAAATTATGGAAAGCCTACAGATACAATTGAATTTAATGTAATAAAATAGGGCCATAATAATAGAAATGCATAGTCAAAAGAGTAAAAACTATTTAGAAAACATAAGTAATGTAAGGTTCTCACTCAGCACTAATCCAAAGTAAAAAGTAACATTTAAAATTAAAAAAAAAAAAACAAGAAAAAACGTTAACTTTGGTTGCACCGAAGCTATAATACCCTTCACAACTAAAGTTCCTCACAAGAGCTTGATTCCGATCGTTCAATTTGTATGGCAGCTATATACTGATCTAATCTGAACAATTTCTTTGGAGATTCTTTACTCCGACTGTTCAGTTATTATGGCAGCTATATGCTATAGTCATCCAATTTACACATCTTCTTCGGATATTGTATTATTGTGCTAAATAATAATCCATGACAAATTTTGTCAAATGAAAGAGTTTTTCATACAAGCACTTGATTCCGATTGTTTAGTTTGTATGCTATAGCCATATGCTATTGTGATCCGATACAGGAGGTTCTGACAAATGAGAAGCTTCCTAGTAAGAAAAAGACAGGTGCAGATTTTCAGATCGATAGCTTGAAAACTGAGGGAGTAGTTTGTATATATACAGACAGACGGACAGTGGTGCGGTGAACATGGCTACATCAACTCAGCTCAGCATGCTGATCATTTATGTATATATTTTATAGGGTCTCCGACGTTTCCTTCTGGGTGTTACAAACTTCGTGGCAAACTTTATATACCTTGTTCAGGGTATAAAAATTAAGAATTTTTGTCAACAAGGTGATGGTTTAAGTGTGTCCGGTTAAAGAGACAATTTTCGGGAATTAAAAACAAATTGTTTTAAAATTTTAGGGGCACATATTTTATCTCCGAGAGGGGCTAAAGGAACCAGGTCCTCCACAGCTGTCGTGATTCCGGATTTCCAAAAATTGTTCGTTGTTCATGCAATAGCGGACAAAAAAAGTTTAGTAAATGGCGGCGTTAAAAACCCAAACACCCATTTTACCCTAAATTGTGGGCGTTTTTGTCCTACCTAAACTGGTAATAAGGCCAGATGATGCCGCCATACCACAAACCGCACCAAACTATCCATTTCTGGGGATGCAATTACGTTTCCTGAACTACAGAAGAATTTGACTCACCCCAATAGCGACAATTTCGTTTGTTAACGAACTATTAAGCGTTGTGTTAAGTTTTTCCAAAGGAATAGGTATCCATTTTCATGGAAGTGCTTCGTGCGCCAACAACTTTCGCTGGATTCGGCTCATCAAGACCCACTCATATAGTCAGACTGCTGTTTACTTTCAGGCTCATACGCATAAATCCACTGTTCATCATCTGTCACGATGTCATAGACGTGTTTTGAAGCACGGCTAACGTACTTCTTTAAACATTTTTCCCGACCGTTTTTGGAGCGATTGACAAATTGTATCGGATCAAATGTGTACAAAATATTTTTTGTAGTCGAATTTTCATGCAATATTGAATAAATGCTGATCCCATTAATGCCTATAGTTGTTTTAATCTCATGATAGATCACACTTTCTTGCAATATCAGTTCGCGCACATCATCAATAATTTTCGGCACAACAACTGAATTTGGACGACCTTCACGAAATTCGTCTTGGAGTGATCTACGACTTCGATCGAGATCACCATACCATTGATAAACATTGCTCCTTGATGGAGCTTCAATGACTAAGATTGAACTAAGTTCATCGATGCACTCTTGCTAAGTTAATCCACGTCGAAAGTTATAAAAAGTAATCGCGCGAAAATATGCGCGATCTAATTTTATTTTTTGGCCAAGAAGAATACTAGACAACA